AGTGTTCAGCCAGTCCCCTGGGTACACCTAGCATGTCAGATGGGCGCCATGCAAAGATGTCCCAGTTCTCACGGAGGAACTGGATGGGCGCTTCTTCATATTTATTGTCGAGTGTCATTGAGATATGGGTCGGAGCAGCATTGGGGTCGGTCGGGTGAATGTGAACTGGCTTGGTCTCGTCGGCCGACTGAAATGCGGATTCTGAGGCAGGCCTCTTGGCACGCAGCAAATCACTCGGATCTGCAGTCTTTTGTTACTCTTGAAACTCCACTGCTGCCATCTGCTCATCTGCTATCTTTGCACCATCCTGAAGACAGTCTTCTGCTCTTTGACGGTTACCGGAGACCGTTATCACGCCTTTGGGGCCAGGCATCTTCATCTTGAGGTACACATAACACTGTCAAGCTATGAAGCTAGCATAGGCATGTCTGCTCAAAATGGCATGATAAGCACTCTAGAAATCCACAACCTCAAATGTCAACCCTTGCAGTAATTCTTCTCATCACCGAAAACCACATCGAGAGTGATCTGACCGAGTGAGTCGGCTTTCTTTCCTGGGATGACTCCGTGGAATCGCATGTTGCTCTCGCTAAGCTAGGACATCGGAATGCCCATTCCTTTGAGGGCCTCAGCGTATAGGATATTCAGACCACTGCCACCGTCCATTAAAACCTTGGTCAGTCGGGTGCCCCCAATGACTCGGTTGACCACCAGCGCTTGCCGCCTAGGGGTAGCTACACGTGGTGGGTGGTCGGACTGGTCGAATGTAATAGGGGTTTTTGACCACTTCAAATACTTTGGTGTTGCCGGAACAACCATGTTCACCTCTCTGTTAATGACCTTCAGTCGACTTTTGCTCTCGAGATCAGCAAAAATCACCAAGGTGGCATTGACATTGGGGTAACCACCATCATCATCTTTGTCTTCCTCCTTATCGGACTCTTTTGCCTTTTCACTTGGTTGGTTCTCTCGGAAGCTTTGGATTAGGAGTCGACATTGTCGAGTCGTATGCTTGGGGAGAATCAGGTTCCCCTCCTCATCCTTCTTGGTGTGAATATGACACGGCGAATCCATCATATCATTTCTTGCTTGGTCCTTCACTTTCTTAGGGATCCAAGGCCCTTTAGGTTTCCCTTTGAACTTTCCTTGATTCAACACTGCTGCCTCGGCAGGGCCTGCTGCCTCAGCCTTCCGCTTCTGCTTTCGACTGGAATTTCCTCCTCCGGTGTCCTGGGCGACTGGTCTGTTCTTAGCACTCCGGAGTCGGTCTTCTTCTTCACCGTTAGCATATTTGGTGGCAATCTCCATCATCCGAGCCAGAGACATAGGTCCAACCGAACTTTAGATTGAGCTCTCCGTAGTGAACGCCTTCCTTAAAGGCACAAACTGCTTGGTGATCTGACACATTCTCCACTGTGTGGTGCAGAGTGATCCATCTCTGGATATAGTCTCTCAAGGTTTCATTCGGTTTCTGCATGCAATGTTGCAATTCTGGAAGACCAGCAGGTCTGGTGCAGGTGCCCTCAAATGTTCTAGTAAACACTCGGGCCAACTCATCCCAATTCAAAATGCTTCCAGGTGCCAGCTGATTCAGCCAAGCTCTAGCAGAACCTTCAAGCATCAGAGGGAGGTGCTTCATGGCCACCTCATCGCTGCCGCCACCAATGTGCACAGCCACTCGGTAGTCTTCAAGCCAAATGTCGGGCTTTGATTCTCCTGTGAACTTACTGACACCAGTCGCCAATCTGAAGTTATGAGGGATCTCGGCGGCTCTGATGGATCTTCCAAAACACTCTGGGCCATAAACATTGACACTGCTTCCACTGGGTCTGTCTCTATCCAGCCTTCTCTGTATGCTCTGTTCCGATCGACCAAACCCTGCACAAGGACTGACCTTGCGTCGAAGCCAGGCTCTCTGGGGTCGACTGAAACTCTGCGGTCATTTCCATACGGACGCATATCATCATACTGCCGGGGCGCGTATGACCCGTCCCTCGGAAGGGGCGAAGGCGCTCGACGGTGGTTGTCGCGGGCGTACTCATGATCATACTCTCCATGAGCTCTTCCCAGGTGCCTATCCCAGCGGTGATCCCGACCTTCACGTTGCAAAGGTGACCCCGGACTGTGTACCGACTAAACGGTGTCTGTCCTTACTGATCTGCTATGGATTCCGTTCAGCGACTGGGACACGGTGGAGTTCTGGTCTCCCGCTGCTCGGAGCAGCGCCCTGATCTATTCCAAGCCTCTTCCAGCCTCTGAATGGGACGGCTGAATGGACTCTGCGATACGCGCAGCAGTTGCAAGATTCTGGATCGGTGTGCGGAATACCTGAGTTTCCGGTGGAAACAACTGCCGAGGACGTCGACTGGACTCGGGGATCAGTCGACTGGCACGCTCGTCGAGAGAATGTTGGAGATTCTCCAAACGAGTGCCCTCAGCCAGTGTGGCCAGGCGCACTGCCTCCAAGGCGCGAGCCTCGGCGGTTTCCCCTATGATGGGGGTCTGGAGAGCCTCCACGTTGCGGCGGTGCAGCTCCTCCCTCTGATGCAAGCTGAGAGGTTGGGGCTGATACTCCTCATGACCGAATGACGGGCCGTCACCGCCACTGTTGCCGCCGCTGCAACGAAAACCAGGTGGACTGCGATGGGAGTCGACCATAAGGAATTCTGCCGCGGGGTCACAATTCCCGCTCTCGGAAAATGTGTCTGCAAAATCAGTCGACAGGTCGACTGAACCGTAGTGAAATATGTCGGGATTGATTGCCGCGACTTGGGGGGTGAACGCCTGACGAGCCACCACGTGTTTCACCCACCGCTGGAGCCGCGATCGACCAGATCGCTTGCGGCGGCGTCCAGCAGAGCAAGAAGACAACGCAAGGACCGACTGGTACGGGGTCGATGGCTGCCGAAGGAGGACGCCGCAGGCACTCACGCGGAAGTGTGATGAACCACGAATCGGGAGAGCCTCGACGTCGAGGAGGGCCTCCTGGAGCCAGACAGAGTCGTCGGCTACGAAAGTGAGCACGCCGAGTCGAAACTCGCGGCCCACGACCAAACCGCCGCCGGAAACCATGTCGATGAAGATCGGAGAAAATGCAACCTCGCCGGAAGTCGCTAAGACGCTTTGCCCCACGGTGGGCGCCAACTGTCGTGGTACTAAATCTGACAGTAAGAATAGGGGTACGTATGAGGAGGCGAGGCCCTAGCTACGGCGAGATTGTACACACGAGTTTTACAGGTTCGGGCCCCTCTAGGAGGAGGTAAAAGCCCTACGTCTTGGTACCTTGAGGCGGTCGATTGGAATATGGGTGTGTGTGTGTGTGTTACAGGGGGTGCGAACCCTTGTGCCAGAGGAGGGGTGGCTCATATAGAGTGCGCCAGGACCCCATCCCACCTCCGTTACAGGGATTGAATGTACATAAAGACAGGGCGTTACTGATAACGCCAGCTATAAAGTGTATTTAATGACCTTTGAGACTACGGAGAGTGAACACCTGACCGTAGCCGTCCTGAGTAACTCCTGGTCTTTTGTAGGTCGAGTGGTCTCTTGTATAGTCGAATGGCTTCTTCTTGGTCGAGTGATACCAGGAGGGAGGGGTACCCGAGTGGGATGACTGGTCGAGTGGAATCACTCGACGGCTTCAGTTGGTACTCTCTGTTGTTCTTTGAATGTCTTTTCTTCTAGGGTAGTGACCATGGGTAGGGCGTATAGGTCAGGCCTATGACCCTACCCTAGATCTATGGCACCATCAGGTAGCCTTGGTGCGATGGTAACAGGAGACACATGGATTTAACCATATTCAGGCTCTCTCGATGGGATAATACACTACGGCCTGCTTGTATTGATTTTGAGGAAGTACAAGTTATAGGTTAATCTGCCACAACATCATGTGCGTATGATCTATATGATTGTAATGATCCATCGACTAGTCTAGTATCAGTTTATATAATGTACCGGAGGCTCAGTCCTAGCCGGCTACGTCGATGAAAAAGAGTCCTCGTCTTTTTTTTAGACAAAAAAGAGCCCTCATCTTATATGCCAATTTTTGTGAAATCTTCCTTGTATACATCATGGGCTGACTGAAGTGGCCTAGGACAAAACCGGTAAAATGGGTCCTCGGCCTGGCCCACCTGACCGGGAGTCAACATGATAAGTGCCCATAATCTTGGACACCATCAGTAGACAGACGGTTGGATATCCAGCTTCAGATTACTGTCCATGAACTGGTTCTCATCGGTCCGCAGACGGACATAGATACAGTGTCCGATTTAAGGATCATCATTGGAGATGCCCTAAAGCCCAGCAGCCTCCTGACAGTCCACCAGCGGCAGAAGATAAGCGTGGAACTAACAAAAGCTTTTTCTTCACCTCAACGGGAGAGGTACCTTAAGATAATCCCTCGTTCATTCTTGCCTGCTTGAAGAAGTGTCGTATCAGTTGGAGCATCACCCGAAAGATTTGCACGGCAAAACCCTCGGTGGTGTGTGGGGCGTAGTTTCTCGGTTTTCTGCTGATCATGGTTCAGGGGAGGTTAGCGTGAGGTGCGCTTAGTGCGTTTCTGCAAAGCTGGTGTATATCCCAGCAAACCATATTTTTGCTTTCCATAAAGCAGGGCGCATAAGGCTTTGTCTATAAAATTGCCCATTCTCTCTTCTTTCTTTTTCTTTTTTCTTTTTTAAACAAGAGAGGAGAGAGGGGTCCAAAGCTGCATTAATAATGAGGCGGTGGAATACAGCAACTTACGAAAGGACCCAAAACAAATAATCCACTAGCCCGTAGCTGGAAGATGACGTGTATCCCATGGTCTGCATGCCGTGCAAATATGCCCCCCGGGTTTATGCGGCCCCGCGGCCCACGCCATCTCACCGCCCTCCAAGCGCATTCAAGACCGTCGTTCGGTCCTGCACTCGTGCCCTTTGCACACGCGCGCAAACATTTTGAGAACATCATCAAACTCTGGGATTATTGGAGAACCTTTCCTTGGATTCTAGGGCCGTGAAATGGGCAGGAAATGGCACGCCGTCGCGGCACTGGGCATGGCGTACGCTGTCGCCGCCGCCGCCGTCGCCGATGGCGACAAGGGCCTCTCCTTCGCCGGCACCGTTGCAGGGCCGGAGGAAGCCAGCTCCCCGCGCAAGCTGGCCAGCTTGTACGGAACCACTTATCACCACGTCTGGCCGGTAATCTGTACAGTTTGTTCAACTCTGTGTTTTTTCCCCGGGGAGTTTATTTTGTAAGCTAGCTGTTGTGACCCGTTCTGCATGCGCTTGCTTTCTGACGCGTGAATCGTCAATAACTGGGTTGCATGCCGTGTTAATTCGGTCGGCTTTGCTATTTCTCAATTGCCTGAGAAATTTGGGAGCGTCAGTCGATTCCGATGAGGCCGAGTCATGACCTTGATGGAGATGTGGATGACACGATTGTTTCCGGCGTAGGAGAGGATGACGGTCTGCAAGGCGAGAGAGGGGCTTTTTCATTTTGGCCGCTGCTTGGATTAGACTGGGCCCGAGCTTGAGACAGGGATGCCGCAGCGTCACTGGTGAGGCCTCATCGGGATATGGAGAGGAGCGGCAAGGGGTGGGAGGAAGAAGAACATTTTTTTTCGAAAAGGGAAGAAGAAGAACATTTTTTATTTTTATTTTTGCGGTTGAAGAAGAAGAACATTTGCCGTTAGACTTTTATAATCCAAAGGCGGAAAGATAAACAAAATCGACTGAAAGTAAAATGATTTTCAGGTGCATGACCTATATGTGCTCCCTAATTTGATGTATTTTTTTACGAAAAGGTCTTCATGGCTAGCTTATTAATTTCAAATAATTCTTACATCATCCGCGAGAAAACGAGAGATCAAACTAGGGGTGAGTTCAACAACATGGTCAATGGATCAACACGTCCATGTTGAGCAATCATATGAGCGACCATGCTCGGCTCTTTCTTACAATGTTCGAAAAGAACCTTCCTGAAGTCACCACATAACCGCCGACACTCTTCTAGAATAGGGCCAGCCACCATCGAATGACCTACATTGAGATTAAGAGCATCCACAACGATCAGATTATCCATATGCACAGCGACAGAGCTACGTCCAATCGAGAGAGCAAGCTTCAAGCCCTCAGTTAGAGCAGCCACTTCGGCCGAAACAACGCCCACAACGTGTTCTACCTTCGCCGTTGGATTTTGGTGCTCCCTAATTTGGTGCATTTTGTTGTACGTAGCCCATGAAATTTGGATGGCGAATTGTGTTAGGGTCATTCATTGGATTCTTCGGGGCAGCATTTGGCAGCGTTGGTGGAGTAGGCGGAGGCGGGATCTTCGTTCCGATGCTAACGTTGATCATTGGCTTTGATCCAAAATCATCAGCAGCCATGTCAAAATGTGAGGATGCAATTCATTTATTGTGCTAGAATTTGTTTCTCATCGTTCAAAAAATATTACCGTTCTTAATTTTTATATCCAGTTTGCAACGACTCCCTACATAATGGTCATTATTGTGGTATTTTGCATATTGTGACATTATATACCTCCATTCGTAAATAGATGTTGTAATCTTCTTCCGTAAATAAATGATATTTTAGAGATGCACAATTTTTAATATGTTTGACCATTCCTTGTTGTATACTTACTATATGGGATTTTGTACTATGAAAACATTTTTCATGATAAATCATGTGATACATTTCCACTTAATAATATAAACTTGTATACATAAGTTAACTTCTGAATTTTTTTGACTACACGCTTTTCTAGTAAGTCGGTGTATTTACGGGTGGATACCGTAGCTTGTAATGTGGCTTGGTATGTTCTCCATATTTAATGTAGAAACATCTGCTCAGATTTTTTTTTAATCAAAGTCAAGTGAAACAATTTGAATTTTACCAATAAAGTGTGGTGCTGATTTGGAATAACATCATTAGTCTTGCGAAGGTCAAAGTTACCTCTTGCTCTCTGTCAGGTAGTAGATTATCGTATAGCATTTAAGCATGGATTTGCTCAAATGTACTCCATTGATCAATTGAACATGGATTTGCTCTTAACATCTATCATAATAATATAACAAGTGAAAATATGAAAATCATCACCAAAGAAGCATGTCCAAGGATGTTATTTTGTGATTGTTTCATTTTTCAAAAAGGAGGAGAAATCCCCCATTTCTAAGAATTTCTTCCCTAGGTATGATCACGGGAGCTGCTGTTTCAACTGTGTATTGCAATCTCAAGCTGAAACACCCAACTTTGGACATGCCAATGATAGACTATGATCTAGCCCTCCTCATACAGCCCATGCTCATGATGGGGGTTAGCATTGGGGTTATTTGCAATGTGATATTCCCAGACTGGCTTGTCACAATCCTCTTGATCATCCTCTTTCTAGGTTCTCACTCTTTTCCTCAAACTGCCGATGACATTTTGCCCTTTCTAGCAAGTAGCTGACTTCATAATGCATTTTAAATTGAAATTACAGTTACTTCGATTAAAGCTTTTCTGAAGGGTGTTGAAGCATGGAAGAAAGAGACAGCGATAAGAAGGGTTTGGTACATTTTTCATACATTTTTTGCGGTACATATCTTTTAAGGATGCTAACATGTTACTCATTTCAGGAGGCAAAGGCAAAACAACTAGAGCAATCGAGTAAGATCAATACACTTATTCATCATTATTAATAAAATGTAGAAAATTGTTCATATTTTCTTGATTTACCAGATGAAGATACTAGATATACGCTACCGCCTACAGGACCCGATACTGCAGCTGAGACAAAAAAAACCACAGATGAAGCGGTGATTTTTCCCCTAGCCTAGCAGAGATCTCGAGTACTATATATGTATAACATAAGAGCTCGCTTGATGATGTAGGTATCCTTTTTTTACCATATGTAGGTATCCATTTGGAAGAACATTTACTGGAAGGAGTTTGGCCTTCTGGCCTCCGTTTGGGTAGCATTCCTTACACTTCAAGTCACCAAGGTGATAAACTAATTCTCTAGTGTACTTCATGTTTTCAATGTCAACCTACATTTGTTTTTGTATATAACACATGAGGCTCTACACTCTAATTCTCAGTTTTCCCTACCTTATCTATTAAATATGAATAAACCTCAATCTACACACGAGATATTGAAAATTCAAGAATACTACTAGAACCCGATATTAAATTCCAGATACCCCTTTATGTATATCCTCGCCAGATGGGAATCAAGCAAATATGCCCTTTTCTATCTATTATATTTTCCTGTGTGGCTATCATTATTAATTATTCTGTAATAAAACTAGTGTTGTATACACAAAATCATTTGCCAAGCCATGCCAATACTAGACTTAGTGCTTACACTTCCCTCACAAATTTTTGAAATTGTGGACTGGTCCTTATGGTGTTCACAATGCCAGTGCAATCACAATAAAGCTGAAGTGCTTCGCATGCACCAACCTTAACAAACAGTTTGTCTGTCACACATGTGTAAGTTGTAAATTTCAACAATAGTAGAATTTAGAAAGAGTGGTAATATTTCTTAGCTAACAAGATAACATGGTTTCATAATATTCAAGACAATGTCAAATGATGGACATAATTTAAGGTGGGGTGAGCTCCATCACTTGCCCAGCTGAGCCAACAAAAAGTGATCCAACATCCCAGACTGCAAGACTGCTTCCTCGCTGTTTCACTTCCCTATCATACGTAGGAACTCGACCTAGCCGGCGATGCATACATATATAATATATTTTTGGTACAATTTTTGGTAGCGTGGCTACCCCACCTTATCCGATGGGGTCCTCCACCCATGACTCTAGATAAATCAGGGTGACAAAGTCAAAGTTTTATCTTTTTATGGCTAAGTAAATCATTCGAGAATATAATGCATGTTTGATAAAACAATAGCATGACAATGCATCGCAAATATAAGATCAAGGTGATCAAGGAGAGGTAAGATGCCTTTGTGATGATCTAGTCAGCTTCTTTGTTATCTTGTCCTAGTTCAACATTGTTACCTACTTACCATAAAAGCAAACATAAGCAAATACACACAAAAATGAGTTACTAAGTGCAGGAAAAAAATATGTGCGAAGATGGAGAGATCCAGAATAGGGTTGGAATTGCAAGATTTGGTTTTATATTAGTATTGAATATTAAAGGATTGTCACATGATGAAATTGACATGGAAGGTTAATCTACGTGAAAGAGATAAATGCCATCGTCTTACCAGTGGCAAATGGAACCAATAGTCATTCCAGCATAACAGATAACTGGAGTGTTTATTAAAGCAACAGGTGAAAGTATGCACTAATGATTGTCCATTGAGATGATCCATAAAACATAAAGGTCTCATGTATGCCTATCCAAAGGTGTAGCTATGCCCCAAGGCTGATTGGGCCATTATCTAGGTCATGTCGTTGGATTTTGATTGTAGCACATTCGACATTGTTTAACAATGTAGCACGTGTTCGGCCTGGGCTTGCCCGGGCTTGGCCCTGTCCTGGCTGTGCCACTGCACCTATGATTAGTTCGTGAGTGAGGCCATAGATCAGACAGCACATGTGAATACCACGTGTAAGATCAGGGTTACATCAAAATTAATGCACGACATGCTCGAGTTTGGTTATCCATGGGTTCTATACTTTTTTCTTCCAATATATATTTGAACCTTTATAATTCAAGGTCGCCAAATGGATGGCTTCTATTGTTTATTTTTATCCTCACTAATTAATGTGAGACTCTTTAGGAAGAATGTAATTAGTATTGATATAGTAATGTAATAATAAATAATGAAATTTACCATCAGTATTTTTGCATATCGGTTTTTGGGAACTCTGAAAATAATGATGTTAGAGAATTCTAGCATATCCCCTAGCATGAACTTCCAAAAGCCACTCATTGGGAGCCTCCCGAAAAATTAGCGTATTGGGAGGTTGTCTTCTAGCATATCCCCTAAACTTATATCATAATAAGTTTTGTTAGCTAATTGTCACTCCTTTATGCATACAAACATCATTTCAACTACAATATTTATGTCATATTAGTTCAAACATTGATGTTCAGCCATACAAATCCAACAACATTTCAATCCATAACTTTCAAATCTTGAAATTTTAAAATTCAAATTTAGAAGAAAATAAGTGTAGGTCCAAGTGAAGTAAATAATTTAATAAAAACATGATGGTGCATGTATGAACTTACCATGAAGTTCCCACAAGGGCTCCACAGGGTCATCTTAAAGTTGCTTACGCATATGTCAGTCTTCAACCTTTCTACGCGCTTTAAGACATCTCTATATTATGTCTTCATGATGCTCAAGCATTCCAGGTATTCGCATTTAATAATACTTAAAGTTCTCATTTTTGGCCTCTCTCATTCTCTATTATCTTTTATGCATGATTATATTTTTTTCCATGGTCCCTCATAGTGTCTTTTGGTCCCATAATCTATTAAATCTGCTAACAATTGCAAAGCGTCCTTGCAACACACCAAAGGCTCTTTCAACATTCTTTCTAATAGCTTATTGATCCTTGGCAAGCTCTTTTGTTGCCTTCGGGGTGTGTGTTCACAAATGTGGACCATGAGAGATAGATACCATCCGCAACAAAAAGACTTACAAACAAAGGTAGAGAATTGACATGGAAGGTTAATCTACATGAAAGATGCAAGGTAGAGAATTCCCAACAAAAAGACTTACAAACAAAGGAGACATTTGTTGGATTTGAGGTCATTATGAGAGCTAGGCACCCCAAAGTAACAATGACAAATCCATAGATTGTGGGATGCAACTACTTCAAGAATGATTGTTGAATCATGACAATGACTAGGGAATTTCCCGTGCCACTTTCTAGGGCAATTCTTCCATCTTTAGCACATGCAATCCATGCTCTCAAGCATCCTCGGGAACCCTAATTGATGCACCAATATCCATCAGCCTTGCAATGTCGTCTACACTGGTAGTTCTCCGGTAGTCGCTTCCACAGAGCTCAATCACAAACTTTGCAAATTTCCCCACGCTCTTGATGGTGTCTTCGTCTATGGTGTAAAGGTATTCATTTGTAGCTTCAGCTGGGGATCTGTGATCATGCGCATTGCCGACATTATCTTCTAAAAAGCATAGGTGCCAAGTTCTTTGGTTACATTTCTCTTCTGCTTGAGATAATCATGATTGTGTTCCACGACAGTTGCAATTCACAGGAAGAGCTCACTAGACATTCTAAAACGTTGCATGAAGAGTGCGTCGGGATACACCAAGTAATCACTTATGAGACATGCATCAACTTCTTCCTAATACAGAAGATAGCACACACGCCCTGGTTGAGAACCACGTCTAAGTATTTTGTTGGTCACCTCCTCTTGAATGATTAACTTCCGCCCCATCTTGAAGTCATCTTCCTCCTCCTCCTCCTCCTCCTACTCCTCGGATGAAAGTCTGAGAAAAACTCCCAAACAAGACTCCTCATTTGTGCATTGAATTAAACAATTAAACGAACGCAAATCTTCAAATGCAGTTTTGCTAAAAAAAATGAAAAGAAAAAGCATGCAACCCTTTAGTTGAACACTTTGTGTGCGTCGCCGACGGAAGCTCGTGGTGGCCTGCAGGAGCTCAAGGAGGCTGGGAAGTGTGTATGGGGGATTGAGCTGATTCTCTGCCTTGCTGAAGCTCATGGCACGGCATGGCCGCAACATTAGAGCTCGGGGGTGGCGGGGCGGTGCCTCCCTAAATGGCTACACGTGCGGCAATGGTGGTGACAAGAGTTTCCGCTCGTGTGGTTGGTAATAGTCGCGGCGAGGAGACTCGTCTCAGACGGCAAGTGGTGTCTCCGGTGGGAGGAGGAGGAGGGACGGCGATGGTTCCGATGATGATGATAGAAGGTAGTGACCGGGCGGTGAAATTTCTCCCACAACATTTTCTTGTTTCAAAGTGGGATTGGGATGCCCAAAACTTCCCCGAGTATTAGGAGCTAGATGATGTTTTTTGGGAGGTCCCAAAAAATTTTGGGGATCTGCTACAGTAATAATTGAAGTCCTTTTTGGAGTTGTAGCTGTTTGATAGAATTGCTCTTAGTACTGTTTTCGAAGAAACTGTAATCCTTAGGCTACCCGTAGTGCAAAGTATTATACATTAGTATCATGCATATTGCAACTCCATAGTGTATAGTATCATAGGTTAATAGTTTATATGATCTTATTTATTGTTTTGCGCATGGTAGCACATCACTAATTCTTTCATGCATGCAGAACTACGTGGCAACTTGCTCCACATGGTACTGGGTTTTGACTGTACTCCAGGTAACCTTACTGCGTTTCTTCACCTCATTAATCAACCACATTTCATATAAAATTGATCCGTAGTTACGAATTTTATGGTTCTGGGATTCAAGGAGGTTTCTATGCCAATGGCTAAACTGCCTGAAAATGTCATCACTATCTAGTATAGTATAACTTGAAAGCAATTCTCTTGCAGGTTGTAACCATCATCCTTTTTGTCTTCACTTTTGATTTGCATCTTCGCTGCAACAAAAAACATACTCCCTCCGTCCGAAAATACTTGACATCAAAATGGACAAAAAAGGATGTATCTAGAACTAAAATACATCTAGATACATCCCCTTTATTCATTTTGATGACAAGTATTTCCGGACAGAGGGAGTACATATTGTTGTCATCTTGTATCATCTCGTATTCTCATAGTCAGCGCTTCATATTACAATCATCCCTCCCATGTTACACTAACACAGCTCCTTCACCTGTTGGATATGTAAGCAGATCCCGGTGTCAGTTGGAGTGTCCATGTACCAGGCAGCAGGTTTGGTGCAGGGGAAGAGGGCGCTATCATCAAGAGCAAATAACCAGACCAGCCCAAAAGCTCATCAGATATTAGTGTACTGCTTCTTTGGTGTCACCGCCGGTGTCCTCGCCGGTCTGCTTGGGGTCGGTGGGGGCGTCGTCATGGGGCCTCTCTTCCTGGAGCTCGGTATCCATCCGCGGGTAAAAAAGAAAGAGAGAAAAAAACTTTGTTTACCGGATGCTTCAACCATTTGATGGTGTTCTATTTGCACTTTTCATTTGTTCATTCATCGCATATTTGAGCTGTAGGCGTGTTCCATTACACTGGTGCAGGTCTCGAGTGCGACGGCCAGCTTTGCGATGATGTTCTCATCTTCCATGGCGGCCGTGGAATACTACCTGCTGAAACGGTTCCCTGTACCATACGGTAATGTCTCTTTTTCTCTGTTTCTCCTATGGGAGTAGTGATCATGCACTGCTATCTTACTATTTTTGTCTGAAATTTGTGCAGCTCTCTTCTTCACTGGCCTGACATTTGTTGCCGCGATTGTTGGCCAGTGGGTCGCAAGGAAGCTGGTCAATTGGCTAGGGCGGGCATCATTTATCATCTTCATATTGTCCTCCATGATCTTCGTTAGCGCCATTTCTCTAGGTACCTTTACCGGTTTTCCTCTCACTGCGACCATTCCATTCAGGTTACGCGGTCGCATACCCAATACAAGAAGTTCTTAAATCTGCTGTTCTGCAGGTGGAGTCGGCGTCTCCAAGACGACTCACAAGATGGCGCGGCACGAGTACATGGGATTCGGCAACATTTGCAACTATCATGCGTAGGAAGATGCTGCCCTACAAGAACAGCGTGCTGATTGTGCAGTTTCAGTGGATGGAACGCTGTGATGTTTGTTTGCAGATGCCAAGTTGAACCACAAGGCCAGGAGATAAGAATTCCAGCCAGTAGTTCCTTCCAACATACGACTAGTATTTGCTAGTCACCCATTGTAAATGTACCTTCAGATGGATAAACCGTAGTTCTTAATAGATTAATGCTATTTCTGACTTCTGGTAAGTTTAGAGCTACTTTTCAGAATGCCTTTCTTCATAGGAGTCAAAAAGTAACTCATGTTAAGTTTTGCCAACATATAAAAGAACACACAAGTAGCAACGATTTCAAACAACTCAGATATTACAGGTGCGCATGCAGCGCAAAACATATCATCCTTTCCTCTATACAGTTTATGCCCAACACTCTTGTGATCATATTGTGCTTATTCACTATATGCTTTATTCCAAGATATCCGCAAGCAAGCAAGCTGACACTCCTACAAAAACGCCAGGATCGGCAAAACTAACTCGTCTTATGAAGACACACGCGCACACACACTTATCAGCGTGGACGCAGCACACACGTGAGAACTGAAAGTGTTTCCTTATTACCTCAATTTTGCATAGGCGATAGGCAGCAGGCATACACATATCAAAGCTTCTTTGGGAACTTGTATGTTTTCTTGAGGAATTTTGTGGCCGCCTCATCGTACCGGTAGCACAAAACTCGCAGGATAGTGTTCGGGTCATTTGCGCTCCACTGGGCGGGCACACGAGGAGGTTTCGCGAAGCTAGATTTGGTTGGAGATCCCTGGCGTTCGGTAATCGCTTGCTTGAAACGCTGGATGAGGGATTCTGTATCTGTTCGTAGGAGTGGCAGAACGCTCTTCACCTCTGATGAAGCCTTGTCAACCAGTTCATGTGGCAGGCCATCACCATTTGCCAAGTACAATCCTCTGAGGGCTCTGAAATCATTCTCTATGATCTGAGCGTCTTGAAGGGTGAAAGCGCGTGTAGGTCCACCAGCAAGAAGCACCAGCAGGAACCCATCAAAGGAAGCTTTCATCAACGCGGTTATGAGATGGTCCCGCGGCTCATTACGCATTATGCCAGATATCACCCCAAGGGTAGAGTGAAGCTCTCTCAACAAAGGCTCCACCCTGTTTGACGCAGCACCACCGACATACAGCATGTCCAAGAGAACATGACTCAAATAACTGAATACCACCTTATGTGCTGTTGCGTCACACAGCTGACGGATGCCGTCTTGGCAACTTGCCTGGGATAGCTCAAACTTGATGTTCATTCCATCAGTGGTGCCAATACCATCCTGAGATAATTCACTGTTCCGCAAACATTTTTTCGCCTTCTTCTTCAGATTCTCCACCTCAGTTCGGATGTAATGGAATGTATTTATTTGTACACAGAGTTCAGGAAGATCGCATCCTTCCGACTTTCCAGTAGAAGATCCAACTTGCGATCCGCGATTCAGAAGAGCATGTGGCTTTTCCTTTTTCTTGAATAATTTGGATCCAACATCGCATCTTGTTAAATGAGGCAGTTGTGGAGTAGCAGTACTCTGGGTCCCTGCGCACCAATGCTAAATGAATCCACCCTGTGTAAATATTGAAATAATTGTATGAGAAAAGAATCTTCATGCTCAGACATACCATGGCAAGATTTTGCTTTCGAGACATAATACTGTAGAATCCCATCTAGCCCAGCTGCTAAATCAGAAACCAAAGTAGAGTGCATTGATATGGGCAACTCAAAAAACGCATCTAAAATTTCATCAACCATCCTTAGCATCTCCATGGAAGAAGGAGCAAAGCTCTGCCTGTTAGCTTTTGGATTCCATGTCTGCATGCAGATTCACAAATTAGAGGAATACTGGTATAGCGGTAGGGTTACTCTATAGTGATATCAGACTATACAGCATTGCGCAAAATAATGTGAAAGAGCTCTTGGCATTCAATGATATCGACTATCCAATAGATGGTTGAGAATGGCTGCATATCTAAATATGCTAATCACTCAAGAAAGATATGCAATTGCAACATAGGAAAATGCACCTTCTATTATCCATATTAAAGTACACCACTAGTAGTTTATAACGTGCATCAGCCAGCTGCAGAAATAGACTAATCTGATATAATAGCAACTATGAATAAACTATAAAAGCTTGCAAAGGTAATAATTAAGGGTTGATGAAAGGATACAGCATACTAAATCCATGGATAACATTGTAAAAGGCTAAATAACTGAATTTGCATGGTTACTACTATAGATACGGTATGGGACATTGAGTAGGATCACCTCCTGCTGTAAACTTTGGTCAACCCATTCTTTAAGTTTGTCCACTCGTTCTTTCATCCAACCTTTGACCAGAGCAGCAATTGCATTTTCAGCTTCATACGGTGGCATCTGTCTAATCAATGACTTGCCTCCATCATCACTGTCCAGAAAGTCTTCAACTGCAATATTAACCAGACTCTTCTCTAACTTGTCAGCAGCGTTAAGCACTTGAGCCGTGTCTTGTGTGAACTTTGTACGCCCAACCATAAATTGCTTCAGCTCATTACCAAAGCAAGAATGAAGGGTTGTAACTGCAACACCAGAAGCAAGCGGGTGCCATTTCTTCAGTATTGGACTGTAGATATTTTTCTCCTTCGAAGCAAGGTCACTAATATCCTTTGCGAGGATTGCAAGAACTGGCACAGGATTCCTTGATGATCGCTTTGAGTCTGCCTCATCCATTCTCTGCACAAATCAGCAGAGCGTCAGAATCAATGCATATTACTGGCATAAACACCAGAACGAGTGTCAAAAGGCCAATATTAAGATCAAGCATTTTTTAACGCTCCCTAAAACTATAAATAAGCAGATCAATATTGCTGACAGTGATCAGTGATGTTTAATGTCCAATTTTGTAGCACGTTTAAAAACCATTGTCTCATGGTGAGATAAAAGAAAATGGTGATAGTAACAATAAATGAGTATGAGACTTGCATTATTCGTCCTTTGAGTGAAGTGGGCTAAGCAGAACAATTCACAGTTTAAACTTACTTGAGCAAAAGCAGTACGGAGCGAGGACCGTATATAGGTTTCGATCTTGCCACGCACCACATCAGTCTTTTGTTTCCTTTTACCAGGGTGTTTTTGAGATATATCTTCAAGAAGAATCTTCGCAGCTGAGACTCCTATTGTGACAATACCTTGCATCGAAACAATGTTGCTAGCATTGAAAGTTTCATGGTAAGCTAGCAATCTTTTCTCTGTCCAACCCGTTATGGAACTTAAAATGGAGATCAATACGTCACAGTAATCTGGATCTTCTGCGTTTTTTGCATCTTTTACAACTACATTTAACTGATTCTCAGCAGCAGAAAGTAACTCAATATCTACTTGGTCCGATGTGACAAAATGGTTGAACAACGCCCAGGCAAAGCAGAGGTTGTGAAGCATCTGATTAATCCCAAGAATAACCCAAGTCTTCTTCAATAACCCCATCACTTCATCAACTTCATCAACCACAGTACCATTCTCACTATCAAAGCAAGCTTCTACCAACATTTGATAGATATGGAGATTGAATGGAAAGCCATCTGCCCAGTGACATTCATCAGAACTTCCACCTAGGGACCTACCAGCAAGGGACTTCACCGCACTGCATAGTTCCTGCATCGATTCCAAGTTCTTCCCGTTTTGAAGTGACTTATCATATGCTCTACTTATTATCTCTCGCAATGTCTGTGCATAAATGTCTGATTTGCTCAAGGGAATAAGTGGGTGAACCAGCAAACCAGCCTCAAGAAGCTTCAAGTTCCTAAACTGCCAGGCCTCGTACTCATGTGGATCAGGGAAATCTGATGCTTTAGATCGCTGCAGAAACTCTAAGGGCAAAATCATTGATTCAGCACGTCTACCTAGCTGCTTGAAGAAGAAAAGGTGAAATTAATCTTAATGGTCAAACTATTTTTGTACATGACAGAGATCTCTATTGTTTTACATGAATATAAGTTCACAGCATAGCTGATGGTGGCTCAACTATACAAGTTAATGGCGCTCAAAGCAATTCACTTGCTAAAATAGAATGATTGCCAGTGTTAGAGCTTGACAAGTCCAGAACAAGCAAGAATGTCCTACCAACTTCCTCTATCTTGAAAAAAAAAATCCAACTAACAGACAGTTCATGTCTGATATGTCTAAAAGGAGACATGCATTTCAGGTTTTGCATGTCGATAACGACCTGAAATCACAACAAAATAAGAATCAAAGGTACCCAAACAAATCTTAACGAGAGGGATATAAATATTAAATTCCATTTTTCAGTGGGTCCACATCTCACAGGTAGAGCATATATTGGTTATGATTTCAATGCTCAGTTTCTGCTAATCTGTTCAGGTTATTATTGCCTTGCTATGTGAGCAGTGAATAACTGAAGTATCTTTTTTCTTACATGGAATGACTGAAGTATTGACAGTGATAAGAATCAACGACTGATACAAGTCCATGAAAATATTCAATGACAAATTATTCTTGACAGTTCACAGAGATTGTATCAGATAACGTATACCATAACTGCTAAACACCGCAACTGAAGTTTGAACAGTTCACCTTAGGAAACACAATTAGCAAATTTACACTCAGAGCTTGACGGGATAAAAAAAAAGAATATCACTACTTGTTTGATTTCATATTACACCCACAACATTATCTAAAAACTCTTATATGCAGAACCGAATACCAGGTTGACATGGACAATTTTTGTCCGTTGCCAATCCCGCTCATAATTGGAGCCTACGTCTGCACTCAGGCCCCATGTAAAAGCAAGAAAACACCATCATTAAGCAACCATTGGAGCATAAAGTACAGGCTGCCAAAGGACAGAGACCATGAAGAAGGGAATAGGTACTTGCATCAATGATTCATGCAATATATCACTGCTTTAAATTGTCATGCAGCAAAAAAACGAGCAAATTCTTTTCCACTTAATTACTCCTACCTTATAA